TGCGTTGAGGTAAGGTGAAAATCTTCATAGTATATGATTTTTGTAAAATGCTCCGAACCTCGGTGTATTATGGCGTCGTCCAGTTAGTCTGGGGTCCTGAATTTCAATATCAATTTCGCTATAGCGTGTTCCTTGTCTGGTCTACAGCCTACTTGACTTGTCCTTCAAACATAAGTTTTTCGCTTCCGCCTGCGCTCTCTTGTTTGGCATTCTGTGACCACTGTGACCTCGCACATTCCGATTTTTCGTTCATAAAAATCGGCCTACCGAACCTGGAGCTTTAACTCATTGCGTAGCGCGTGCTGTACTTGCGCACTAGCAGAAGACGAATCCTTTGCTTGATCCCTTAGGCTAATCTTTTCATTCTAAAGTTGAGCACATCTCCGAGGATTGTGCTATTCTCGTGTGTAATAATACTAGGCTGGAAGGAAAGTCCTGTCAAAGTTTTTGGATAGCTTACAGTTTTTGATTCTTGATGCACGATGATGACGTAACATGCTATGGTTGTAGAACATTCTCGAAGCTTTTCCACAAGAGGTATATAAAGGCTCCTGCTCTTCCCTGTGTTTATTTACGATGTCAGTTTCACTGAGCAGCTTCGAGTGATCATCTTCTATGAGTGGCGCCGCGGCACTGGAGCGACGGCAGCTGTCCGTAACATCAACAGTGCATTGGGGAGGACACCACTACCATCAGGACTGTCCCGCTGGTTCGCTCGCTTCGCGAAAGGAGACACGATCTTCGAAGGCAAACTCGGTCGGGACGCCCTCACGACGTGAAAGACTCCGCCGTTCTCTAAACTGTCAAAGAGGATCCGGAAGCTACCACTCCCCAGTATCGCGACAAGACGGGTGTATCGCATGTACCTAACTGACAGTCGTCAACCGCCTGGTAAGCCCCTGACTATGGAAAGTGGTGGCTTGATGGATCACTCGTATCATTGACCGATGGCACACTGTGCACCCGGGTACCCCTTGGTCAGTCTCCCCTTCTCAAAAGGAGTTTCCAGCAGACTGTTTAGTGGAGATAAGCAATGGATTTCGGCCCACATTGTGTCTCTCCTCAAGGAGAAGACCCATCCTAGCAGTCCAAACCGGGCATGCATTCCGAGAAGGTTCTCCTGTGCTGCTTCTAAGACGCGAGGGGGAATGCTGCACAACGAGCTGCCCTGTAAGAACACACGGTCACCGCTACCATTTGTGCCACTCAGCTCCACAAAATGACCGAGACCAGCTTTGGAGCACCTCGTTCGTGAGTACGCGAGACTCCATACTGCTATGGAGACCTACCAAATAATTGAAGAGCAAGGCTGGGAGACCAGACACCGCTCATCAATTCTCCTGACATAGTCCCCTACGACTGCTACCTGCTCCGCCTCCTTAAGGCTTTCTTAGCTAAGAAAACTTTCAGCAACTTTGATGACATCAGTCGAGAGGCGCTGACTTACTCTACTCGCAGCCTCCTCAGTTCTGGGAGAGGGGAATGCTTACCTGTCCATGAGATGGACCACTGTAGTGGCTAACCATGATGAGTGTATTTTGACTAATTCCCACTGCATGTTGAG